TCAGTAATGGTTCTTCAATCTTTTAATCACTGCAACTAATATATATATCATGTATGTATGACAAACGATAATAATTCAAATACATACAATGTACATTTGTACATCTGAAAGCTACCTGGTCATAGTAGTTCCTGTTGAAATTGACAAGCAAAGAGTAGTCTTGTCATCTTCTTTGAGTGGCATTTAGCAACTGATACCTAATAAATTTAAATCAAAGTTTTGTTGGGGGTCCTCTCGATGCTATCAAGCAAACACTAACTGTGTTCTATATTGTGTTTATTTCACAGTCTAGTCATTCAGATGGGACAAAAAAACGTGGTGTATCGGCTTACATTGACCATAAAACAAATAAAACTGTAAAGTTGTATACATGTTCATTTTAAAATGACTGTGAGGAGAAGCTAAACCTCCATTTCATTCCTTTTTTCCACTTCAAAGTAATCAGAGACCTCGTCACCTGACCCCGCTTCCAGATTTAAAACATGATTAAAGGGACTTGATTAACTAGATCAGACTAACAGAGGATTGTTATACATGTTAATACATGTTTTAATTCATGTAGCCCAGTTTATTGTCATTCATCAAAGCCATTTTATCAGCTGATCTTTTACAAGATAAAACAAGATGAAACACTCAAATGAATTGTTCATAATTCATCATATAAAACAGTTTTAAGTCAAAAAAAACCCCAGGGAAACCTAAATTAAAATGAGAGAGAGAGAGAGAGAGAGAGAGAGAGAGAGAGATATGGGGTTTAACGCTCACTCAACACAAACTAGGTCATTTCAGGACTAACATATGGATCAATTTAATTTTTATAATTCGCTTGCGTATAGGGGTCTTTAGCAGTGGGAGGAAACCAGAGAACCTGAAGAAAACCCACCAGGTTGGACAGGCGACCCTACTCCTTGTTACCTACAACCGGGGAATCGAAACCACGCCAGCTGTACCCTAAATTAAAATGAACTTCCTATTCTCCTGCACAGTTTTGGCCAAAGAAGACAGAGAATCGTAGATTCAGTGCTGAAAGAAATTTTATATTACATTAGCTTAACATTCACTCACCCTATACTACTGACGTAGGTCATTTTGGGACTAACGAGTTTAATCCGCTATCAAAAGTGGGTCTTTAGCAAGGGGAGGATATTGTTGGACCCTGAGAAAACCCATGACAATACTCCTTGTCATTGTCATGTACAAGTGTGGAATTGAAGACAAGCCACTTGATTCAATGACAGACCTTATATGATACTTCTACCAGTTTGTTTCAAAGATTTTATTTTTATTACACATGTACCAGAAAATGGACATGTGCCCAAACTTTGGATTAAATAATATTCATTTCGATCAAGCACTTATATTACCTGGTAAGTTGTTTCAATCAGTGAAACTTGTAATGAATATTACATATTACTACTTATAATAAATGGCTTACTGCTCAAACCAGCCCAGCAGGTGGCTGCTAACAGATGGATGTTTACAAATTCACAAGACAGCATTTACACTTCACAGGCTTAAAAATAGATCAGAAACCAATGGATGCCAACCACAATGAAAAAAAGAGAACTTGGCTTTTGTCTAAACTTGTAAATATTTGACATCGAATTTGTACGTTTTTAGGGGAGTTTTCTTGTTGTTTTCGTAAACAAATATTCTAAAAATTATGCAGTTCTATATTCAAGTCAAGAACAATAATAAATAAAGTACTATAGAATATATCAGCTGGAGTTTACAATACAACGGTATTATCTACAACTCAAGGTTATCTTCATCTCTCTCTCATTTAACTATCAATTCTCTGATCTGAGCATCTAGCATCGGTACATGCAAGAACAGGTACTTTGTACATATTCATCTTCAATAGAAGAAGGCTTGATCTCGTACATCTTATTAAGCCCTGCATATTTCGTCCCATATTTCGATTGGCTACTGACCCAGCTCCCGTCAAAAGGCAAAACCTAGTAACTCACTTTTTTTTTTTATCAAAATTGAGTTAGGACCAAATTTGTATTTACTAGGGTATGTGCTTCCTGTTGTTGTCTTAGATATTCGAATCTTTTGATTTTGTAAGTAAATGAAATGAAATGAAATGGGGTTTAACGTCCTACTGTTCTGCTCCTATACTGGGCTAATGAAGACGGCATACGCCATACAGTGTGCTATGAGGGAAATTTTGCCCAGGCAGCGGCACTATCGCCCACTCTTATATCGAATTCCAACTGCCAGGGGATCTTTTACGTGCATTCCAATATATACACAGGACCTTGGTTTTTCGTCTCATCCGAAAGACTAGACAGCTGTCCTTGTCAGGCCCTCGGTCCTGCATCACTGACAAGGGGAAACCACGCGGAAAATCTGGATGAACTTTCTCGGCCAATGCAGGGATCGAACACACGACCTCCAGGCTAGCGAGCCAGCATCTTACCCACTTAGCCACGTGATCCCCCTGATTTTGTAAGCAGTTACATCCATGACACAACCTAGCAACTTCCTTCATTTTCCTAGTATACCACAGCAAAACCTAGTAAATCAATAGTCAAATCTAAGGATTAGCTGGGGTTTAATATTCATTCATTACGTTTTCTTTGTTTTCTCAAAATAAGAAAAAAGTGAGTTACTCGGTTTTGCCTTTTGACGGGAGAGCTGGGGACCTTTCAGATTCCTTGATAGAAAAAATCATTGCGAATACCAAGCCTCGCGCTTTCCAGCTAAAACGTCTACCTGTGATAGTTGAGTTACATGTACTAAGTTCAAGGTTCGTTCAATGTCCAGGTTTCCGTGGAGGTAGCCATGTTTGATTTAAGTGTGTTTGTGTCACAGCCTCTGGTTAACAATGCTATTTTTCATGTGTCTGTGGTAAAAGGACATAATGTACGGTTCCTATAAGTTCGGGAATTTCTGACTAACCTAGCAACGGCTAGATGTTGTAAAATTTGCAGTCGTTGCTTCAGGAACAGGGTACTTACTAAGCCTCTTGTGCTCCAGAATTCAAAGCTTACATACATGTATATACTTTGGGCTGGCTATCCACTTGATTATTTTTGATGTTGTATTTTATGTGCTTTGTGTTTATAATTTATTTCTATTTATTTTTAATCTGTAATTTATGTAAGCACTCAATTGTCATTTAAAGATAGCGCCATATATACATTAAATAAATAATTAACAATAATTGTAATAATTATAATTAATAAAGATAAATAATCGCAAACTGAATTGTTAGTGTGTCTGGACCTAGAAATGCACAGGATAAACACACAGACATTGTAAGACTCAAGCCAGCTATCAGGTCGTGTAAGTGAGGACTTAAATTAAATGGCTGAAACCATCGATGGTAGCCATCGTTATATTGTTGGGCGATATTAACATACAGGTATCCATAGATCCGACCTGCATGTACATGTATTTATCATTCCATTTTATCATTTACTGTACTTGAATTTTCCACTGGATTGTGTAGATTGACCAGCGTCTGGTTAGGGACAATTAATGTGTTTGATTTTTATTAAGATATTAACTACTACTATTAAATACTAAAATAGGGGGTAACATCCGTTTCCACCAAGCTTAATATATCACGGATAAGACATTGTGTGTGAAATAAGTTTATCTAATATCAGATCTTCCAACAAGGCTGACACCACTGACAATGAAATTGTTAATTGCTTATTATATACACCCAAAAAGTGACATAATTATTATCAAATATAACAGATTAACAGGATTTTAATTTTGATTTACTTTTAAATCTGTCCCTTTGTAGAACATTAAACATTTCATTCATAACTTAAATCTGAATCACTGATATAGATGTATATTTAAAGTTTATTATCTATATTGTGTTTATTTCAAGAAAGAGTTATGTTGCTTTTGAATAAACATTAATAATAATGTAAATATGTATTTCATAGTATTAATTGTAGCTGAATTATTTTACAATAATGCACAGTATAATGCATCTAATAGTGTGTATTCCAACTGTGAGTTTGAGTGTGTATTCCAAACACTGTATACATTAATTTTATCTTAAGTGTGAGTTATGTCATGATGATGGACAACAAATCCATTAACATTGTGTATTCAATATGTGAGTTATGATATATGTATATTGCATGCTTTGTGCTTGGCCACCTTGTACATTGCACCAGCATCAAATTATAAATTAGTACTCATTTAGTTTGCAGGATTGTTTTATTCATCAGCAGACCTGAATTTTAACAATGTTTTGTATTTTTGTTTACTTTATATATTTTGGCCATAATAAATTATAGATTCTATAGACAACAAATAAAATCTATTTTTTTCTTCAATGTGCTAAATAATAAAAATTTAGATCTAATTATTTTTTATTAAAAAAAAAAAAAGTAATTGAATTTTCTCTAATATCCTTGTCTAAAAGGTCTTAATTAATGAAAATTAAAACAAATTTGAAAATACAGTTTTCTGAGATTAAGCTACTAATTAAGGGGATTATAAATATAAAATATGATTATTTTTGTTCATTCTTCGGATAAATAAAATTACATTGACAGATCACAATGATTCCATTCAGAATGGCTTCAGCTCCTACTTCAGATCAATACTATTCAACTCAATGTGTCCATTTCGTTCAATAATTGAGACCCTGAATACTCCCCTTAAAACATGTGATAGGGGCTTTAGTTAAGAACAAAAATATCATATTTCTAGTTCTTATCAACACTCCCGCTTCGAACATGACTAAAATGACGTAAAAAACACGTATTTCTAAATAAATAAAGTCAAGAATGTCGTGGCGGGAGGTCGCTTCATTCAATTGTTCCAAGAGCCAAGCGAGTGACAGTTCAGCCGATACACACACACACTATACAATAACGCTGCCTACTCGCAATAGATAGCATCATCATAGCGAAATGGAAATTCACAAAAAACGCCTGTCAAAAAGGCAACATTTTATCAATAATTATTCGACAATTGGCTTGGTTAAAAATTATCTATGAATTAAAATCAAATACCCATACCTTTCGGCCATCGCTGGCTTTTTCAAGAGCTCAATAATCCAATAAATAATCACATAATTCACTAATATCTGCTAGCCGTATCCAAATACAACACCTTGTCCGCCATCTTGTTTCGGCGAGGCGTAAGCCAGGGTTTGACGTTTTCTCGATATCAATTTTCTCCAAAGCAAAAAATATGTAATCACAGATAAAGATATAGATAAAACGACACCGTGCACAATTTCTTCAATTTTGGAGGAATTGTGTCTGCATCAGTTATTTTAATAAACCGGAAATGGCAGGTGCGACACAGCAAAAAAGTCGGTTCCGGAAGTTCCGGTTTTGTGACTGTCTTTTGTTTTGATAATTAATCCGACAATTAACGGCAATGGTGAGTTAATGAGATTAGGTAATCGATCAGTAATGTATCATTAACATTAATTAGAATGTTTAGAAATGATTGTAAATAATATTTTATTGTAGTATTGGTAAATGATCCGATAACTTTTGTCTGCCTTCTGTCACCTTAGTACGAGTATGTTAGTCAGTGTTGTGACTGATTGTACCCCCACTGCCCCAGTTCACATTCAATTCAGGATTTAATAATGATATTTGTGACAGTACCATAAGAATAGCACACATCTGTGGGATTTATGTTTACATTTAATTGATGTAATAGCAATATTGTCATATTAATGATAACATTAACACTATGAGATTACGATCCTTTCAGTTTCACCTTACAAACTCATTTTATTTATTATTTTGTCTATTTATAACCTGTTTTCAACTTGGGGGATGCGTCCCACTGGTGGGACATTTTGCAATTCCCCATGGGAGGCGTCCATGGCCTATATTTCGATAAAATCTTCCCAATTCTGCAAGAGATTGAAACTTCATTCGTCCATGGGATGCAGTAGAATCTTTGGTAAAGATTTGGGACGTCGGCTAATAAAGGTTGAAAACGGGGATCTATAACGTCTTTAAAATGTTATACTATATGACTAATTAAACATTCCTCCCCCCCTCCAATGTAGCGACAATACAGCAAATATTATTGGGTTAAATTAATCAATCAGCCTTTTTCATTGATAGGTTATGCATGTTTTCCATTTGGAAAATGTCTTCCTAGCAACACTTGATGGCTTTGATTCAAAAGAGGTGATTAGATGTTTAATTGTAGTTGGATATGGTAAAATTTGTGCCAAACAGGCCTATATATAATATAATAAAAATATCAATAAAAACACGGATAAAGACAAAAAATGGCTGACAAAATAACAGATACCAGAGACCCTATTTCCCTGGTTACTCATACAGTCCACCTACATGTACAGGGCCGGGACTGTACAGCGCGGTGGACATTTACGGCTGGCCCTTGATTCATTAACTTGATTTGATATTTGTTTAATATTTTTTGCTGTGTAATGCGGTCCTCCTGTACTTATATGTAGTACCGTAAATTTGTTTGGGTTTAGAATAACTGGAAAATCTATTTATGATGCCATATTTATTTTATGTCATCAGCTCTTTATCATCATAAAATTGTTTGATTTCAGATGAATTTTGGATGTGACAAAAGTGATAGTTCTGGACGAGATGATTGGATGGAAAAATTACGAGAAACCGGAACGCATGTTACTCGAGCAGACATGAATAAACTTATAATGAACTATCTTGTTACTGGTAATAGGACTGTTGTTTATATTTATATTACAATTATGTCTCCTAACATGGGTTATAGTCGTGGGTAATTTCTCATATGGGAAGGGGAGGAGTTGGGTTTAACACGTGCGCGTTAGATCAGAAAATCTGGCAATGAGTAAAGTGGTTGGATTTCAAATCCCCGATTTACATGACAAGGAGTAGGGTCGCCTGTCTAACCTCGTGGGTTTTCTCCGAGTCCTCGGGCTTATTCCCACTGCTAAAGACCCCTACGCACAAGTGAATTATTGAAATAAAATTAAACTATATGTTAGTCCCAAAATGACCTAGTTTGTGTCGAGTGGACGTTAAACCCCATTTCTATCTATCTATCTATCTATTTGATCTCCTCCATGTTTTTCTTGTTTTAACAGAAGGATTCAAGGAAGCGGCGGAGAAGTTTAGAATGGAATCGGGTGTCCAGCCATCAGTTGATTTAGATGAACTCGACGATAGGATAAAAATACGACAGGCAATACATTCAGGAAATATACAAGATGCTATATGTCTGGTTAATCAACTCTACCCTGAATTACTAGATAATGATCGCTACCTTTATTTCCGGTTACAGGTTTGTGTGGAACTGTTTTAAATACATAGACCAGACGGCAGACCCCCCCCCCCCCCATTGCTCACGGAAAACGTATTCCTTTTCTCCAACATTCAGCGAAAGAAACATGTAAAATATTGCCGCCATTTTGCCTCACTTCACTCTAATCCTGTACATGCATGTACCTAAATGGGAAGAAATATCTGAGCTTCTAATTTATAAAATTTGCGGTAATCCTCCAGACCTCATGCCAAATTTGACATTTTCTACACTTTGAACCATCCCCAGCAAAGGTTCCTGCATGCTTCCCAGTATCAAGGGCTGTGTTAAATAACTAGACCACGTAGACAGGGTGACATTAGTTCGTGGGGTTAATACCAAACCTGGAAATAAGTCAGCTTTCACAGACATGGTCAGGCACATACTTAGGTTTAATATGACACAAGCCCCTCTTGTGTCTATCATTTTGTCATTTTGTTTCGATTCCCCTCGGATGTCAGACCTCGTGGGTTTTCTCCCTTCTAAAATATTGAAGATTGGATCTTCTGTCAAAAAATATGAAAATGGGATCAAATCTCTGGGGAAACCATTCCATACTGTATTTGTGCGTTGACTGTGTTTGTGATCAGCAGAGTTTCTCAGTGTGACATGAACGTTAAACACCATTTCATCCATTTCATTTCAGTGTGACATATTTTCTGTATTTGGCTCAGGGGAGATAACACTATTTAGTTTTTGGTCCTGTTAACAGTGACAAATTGTGAAGTCCCAGGACGGTACAGGGTAATGGATTCATTCTCTTGATTTGATTGTATTTTCGTTGTTATTACTTGGCTGCTCCATATGTGGTGTGTCTTGTCTGTAGGGTTGTCTTCTGGGTTTTTTTTGTGTGTTGTACAGTTCTCCAGTACTTGCTGTTAAGTATTATATATCATTTCCTATGTTGTTTTTATTTACAGCAACAGAAAATGATAGAATTAATCCGTCAGAAAGAAGTGGAGGCAGCATTAGAGTATGCCCAAATTCATTTATCAGAGAGAGTAGAAGAAAATCCTGAAGTTTTGTCAGAGTTAGAAAGAACGTTGGCGTTATTAGCTTTCGAAGATCCGGAATCCTCACCTTTCAGTGAACTGTTACATCCCTCACACAGGCAAAAGGTTAGTTACTCTAAAACTAGATACTGTTGGGGTTGGCCGAATGGTTAACACGTGCACGTTGGATCATAAGGTCTGTCATTGAGTCAAGTGTTGTACTGTTTTGTCGGCTTGCAGACGACTCTTTAACTCTGACAGTACCGTTGAGGCCTTACCCGCAGCAAAGTCGAAGATGTCAACAAACCGGACGCGTCAGATCAGCTTAACGCACTCCCACAAATAAATCATAGAACGACGATCTCCTGGAACGATGTTAATTTAATGGGCAAAGTGGTAAAAAACACTGTGAAGTTTCACATACAAAATTATGACGAACAAAACAAATATCAACCCATGTTGGAAACAATGGCGGGTTCTAACCAGTTCATAGATCTCATTGTCCAGTCTCTCAGATATAAGACAGCACCGACACTCGCTGTGACGCTCAAACCAAATGCAAATGCGAAATAAGTGTCAGTAAATTATATGGAATGAAATGATAAGCTTAATAAATGTCCATTACCGAAGTACACAAAATAATGGTAGGTTTAAGATAAAGAAAACACAAGCGTAGCGTCAGCTTGGTTACCGTAAGGTGCCTTAGTTCTAGTAACAAGTGTCTTATTTGACGACTACAAGTTATAATCTATGGCAAGACGGTAGGGTCACGAAAACGTAAAACAGCACACTCCCCACCTTAAAGGCGTACGTCTTTAATAATTAGTTCTTATCAACAAATCACTGGTCTATACAGAAATACAAGCTGAGACACAGGTCGCGTAAATGTCTTCAGTTTTCCACTAAGCTTGCTCGAACCTGGTTGATCGTCCTCAAAGACTACAACGTCAGCTGTCCGGACAATTCCATCTTGACTAAGTTCCACATTCACTATGCGTCCTTTAAGCCATGATCCACGAACGGCGTCCTTTTCCATAACTAACACTAAGTCACCAACATCTAAGTTTGGAAAAGTTGTTGGTTTTGGAGGTACTCCTTCCTCCACCGAATCCAGAATTGATCAGCCAGATACTGCACTCTGCGCCAACGACTGCGGCAATACAAATCCGGTTCCGTGAAGTTTCCAGGAGGAGGTAAATAAGGTCTAGTTTTCATGGTAAGGATACTAGCTGGTGATAGAGGCTGAGGATCCTCTGCATCTGAACGTATAGCTGTTATAGGTCTGGAATTGACAATGGCTGTAGCTTCCGCCATGAGAGTAACAAGAAGATCGTGGGTGATCTGAAACTTCCCAAGTCCCAAAAGCATACCATCCAAAACACGACGTAGGGTTCCAATCTGATGTTCCCATACGCCACCAAAGTGAGATGCGTGTGGCGGATTCCATTTCCAGTCACAGTCGTGGTCCAACAAGAATTTCTTCACTTTATCATTATCGACATCCCTCAAAGCATCATGGAGTTCATTATGTGCTCCTATGAAGTTAGTTCCACGATCAGATCGAAGTAAAGCAACAGGACCTCTTATAGCGATAAAGCGTCGTAATGCGTTGATAAAGGCCGAAGTGTCCATCGCGTCAACAACTTCTATATGAATTGCTCGACTGGCTAGACATGTGAAGATGATGCCCCATCGTTTACTATTGATAGATCCACCTCGAGTTTTCTTCGTTGTTATGTCCCAAGGACTGAAGGCGTCCATTCCCACGTTGGTAAAGGGTGCTGTTTGCCCTACACGATCTTCTGGGAGATCGGCCATCTTAGGTGTTTCAGAAGGCCGACGTAGAAGATTGCATCCAACACGTTTTCTAATCAAAGAGTTTACCAAACTGGAACCTCCTATGACCCAAAATCCGGCTTGTCTGATGGCTCCATGGGTTATAGATCTACCTTGGTGATGCACTGTTTCATGGTAATGTCGCACGACAAGCAGTGTAACATGGTTCTTCTTTGGTAATACAGTCGGATGCTTCTCCGGAAAGGACAAACTGGAACGACGGAGTCGACCACCAACCCGGATAAGTCCATCTTGATGAAAGAAAGGGTCAAGCTGATAAAGATGTTGTCCAAGAGACCGTTTTATACGTTTACTTTCGTTTTGATGTTTTTTGAGATTTGCAACCACTTCAGGGAAGGCTTCATGTTGAACATGTTTTAGGATTACAAGTTCTGCTTCATGTAGGATTTCAGGATTAAGATCCATGCTTTGGTCTTCTGATGAGCCACGTTTCCTATGACGAAGCAGAGTCTTCAAATAGGCAATCGATTTACAAAGTTTGCGCCAATTACTAAAGTAAGCAAAGTATCTACAAAGTAGACAGATGTTGTCTGTAACAGTAGAGGTTGCACACGACTTAACCTCTGGACGAATCTCTTGGTCACCATCATTCAAGGTGTATGCGCCAAACGGAATGTCGCTGCAGTTCCACAGAAAATCTGGACCAACGAACCACTTTTCTTGCATGAGTTTTGATGCTGAACAACCACGGGTTCCTAAGTCGGCAGGGTTGTCTTCCGATCTCACATATCGCCATGATTCTGGTGATGTAAGGCTTCGAATAAGTTCAACACGGTTGGCTACGTAGACATAAAATCGTCATGATTCATTCATTATATAGCCTAGAACAATTTTGGAGTCGGTGTAGTGGTAGACATTGTTAATGTTGTACTCTAACTCCCTCTGGGTTTGCTTTACAGTAGTTGCTAACAAAACTGCTGCGCAAAGTTCCAATCTGGGTATTGAGAGGTGTTTCTGTGGTTTAACTTTAGATGCACCCCTCACAAAGGCAATGTGGGTATCTCCTTTATCGTTGAAGAGACGCAAATAAATAACAATACTGATAGCATCTTGACTAGCATCAGAGAAGGCGTGGATTTCAATATTAGTGACTACGCCGAAGTCTTCAGGTTTAAAACAACGTTTTACCTCAACCTTGCAAATAGACTTGAGGTTAGTATGCCATGTATGCCATTCAGACCATAAATTGGGCGGTAAAGGGTCATCCCAATCGAGGTGTTGTCCTTCAGTAGTACTAAGATGAATCAAATTTTGAAGGATCTTCTTCCCAACTATGATGAATGGCGCGGCGAAACCTAAAGGGTCGTACAGCGAATGGATTATGGACAGAACTCCACGTCTTGTATAAGGTTTATCCTTATCTGTAACTTGGAAGGTGAAAACATGCTTTTCCAAATCCCAATGTACTCCTAGAGTGCGTTGACTCGGTAGCTTATCGTGTTCAAGATCGAGATCTGTCAACCCTTTAGCTAGATCTTGATTCGGAAAGGCTTTCATAACGTCTGGTTTATTAGAAACAACTTTATGCAGGCGTAAGTTCGAATCTGATAGCATGGACTGAGCTGACTTGAGTAGATCAATAGCTTCCCCAGAACTTGAACAAGAATACACGCCATCATCAACATAGAAGTCTTCGTGGACAAATTTATGTGCGGCATTTCCATACTTGTGACAAGCGTCATCAGCCGATTTCCGAAGTCCAAATGTAGCTACTGCAGGGCTAGGTCCGTTTCCAAAAAGATGTACATTCATCTGGTAGTCAACAACAGGAGCATTTGGATTGTTATCCTCAAACCAAAGGAAGCGTAAGAAACTTCGATGTTCAGGATTGACGTAAAAGCTATGAAACATTTGCTCAATGTCACACATTATCGCAACTTCATCTTGACGAAAACGAAGCAGTCTTCCGAGAAGTCCATTCATCAGGTCGGGACCTTGAAGTAATTCTTTGTTTAGGGATGTTCCTTGGTATTCTGCTGACGAATCAAAAACAACTCTAACTTGTGTAGGTTTCTTAGGATGATACACTGCAAAGTGGGGAAGGTACCATTTCTGTCCTTCCTTGGTATCACCTTGAGTCGGATCAACTTGTGAAGCGTGGCCTCTTTGGAGAATCTTTGACATAAATTCAAGATAGTCAGTTTTAAGTTGACTATTTCTTGTGAAGTTTCGTAGAAGACTTTCGAACCGCTTCTCTGCTTGAGCTCGGTTATTTGGCAAGTTTGTTTTAGTCTCACGAAATGGAAGGGGTGCTTCCCAATTTCCTAAACAGTTCTTGTGGAATCCTTCCTCCATAATTTTCAAAAAGTGACGATCATCTGGAGATGTTCCATGGTCCGAATCATGTTCTGAAGTAAAGAATTCATCTTTAGCAATACTGTTCAGTAAACCTTTCTGATCAACTGATGTCTTCTCACAAATAACAGATGTGTACAGCTCCTCCCCAGTCTTGGTTTCAAGTGCTTTTGCTATCTGTTCTTTACAATGAATTTCATATTTACAATCCTCTAGAGTATATTCTGTTCCAACTAAGGTTCGGCGACATGAGAGGTGCACGCTACCTCCAAGACGATTCAAACAAATATCTCCAGACACAGTCCAGCCTAGGTCCAGACGTTGAGCCCATGGTGCTCCTACGGGGCCGTTGATGGATTCGCAAACTTTAAGAAGCTCTGGAGCGTCTCTTCCAATTATCAAATTTATTCCTGTGGCTTCTTCGTAGGGTGGAAGAAATTTAGCTATATGCCGAAGATGTGGGATTTGCTGTATAGCTTCCTTTGTAGGAATTTCAGATTTGTCTTCCGGTATATTATCGGATTCGATGATTGTCGGGAGCTTGAATGTTTTGCCATCCAAAGTACGGGCATATAAGTTCGTGCCTCGTCGTCCCAGACAAGTTTCTTTGCCATGACAGGTCTCAAGTGTGTACTGGTGCCTATCTCCTGTGATGCCAAGGTCATCGAAAAGAGATCCAGTACCCAAACTATGACTAGATTGGTCGTCGAGAGTGGCATACGTTCGGAATACTACGCTAAAGTCGTCTCCACGGAGAATGTCAATGAGTGAGAACTTTCCACAGGTTCTCCCTTTGATGCCTGGTGATCCACATATCTTCATGCAAGCTGTTCCAACGTTCTCTCCAGTTGACCGAGAAGGGTTATGTGACGAGTTAGATGCGCTGTAATGCAAAAGTGTTGGATGTCTACGTCCGCAGCTATCGCATTTGACATCTGATTTGCATCTTGTAGAGTAATGTTTTTTGGTGAGGCATCGAAAACAAATGCTAGCATTTCTGACAATCAGTTCCCGCTCTCTGGGTTCCTTATCTGCAAATACACGACAAGTAAGCAAAGTGTGACGATCTTTACTTTCAGGATGAATAGGGCATAACACGTCTTCTTCCGGATTAATGTCTTCAGAAGTTTTGATATCCGTTTTCAATGACTTGGTATGTCCTGCTTTGTTCGAATAGAAGTTCAAATTACGAGGGTTTGGAGATTTGTGTAGTTTCGAAGTAGATTCGTAGTCAACTCCAGGCATTTTGATGATAGCTGGATGGTTTTGTTTCAAAGCAATGTTATGCATGAGTTCAACAAAGGAAGAAAATGGAGGATAATCATCAGATTGTCTTGACATCATGTGTTTGGTAACTTTGTTTTCCCATTTGTCACGTACCATTTTAGGGATTTTCTCAATCAATGACTTCATGTAGTATGATGAATTCAAAATGGACAGACCGTTCAAAAACGGAATTTGTGAACCAACGTCTTCACAAACATCATAAAAGTTCTGATACCCTTGTCGGTCGTCGCTTCGGAAATTGGCAGCTTTCTGCAAGTTGTTCAGGAGGGCGTTTGTAATTTCTGCACTATGACCGAAACGTTCTTCCATAGCTTTCCAAAGGTTGGTGACTTTCACATGAGCGTCGGGATGTACACGTCTACGAAAGGTGTTGACAAGATCCTTTGGTTTTCCAGATGTGTAGCGAAGAAGGTATGTCATTTCCTGGTCTGGCGAAGCATCGACATCAGCAATCATTGATTTAAAAGCCACTTTCCAAGGCAAAAATATAGGAGGGTCTCCAGCGAAAACATCCGGTTCGCACTTAGGTAGTGACTGTTTTGCCAACGAAGACATAAGCTTAGCACTTGTTTCATTTTGCATATCAAGATGTCGAAACAGGGTTTCATTGAGTGCGAAAGTTGCATTATGTTGATGTGATGTTGCTTGATCAAATGGTCGAAACAGTGGGTCGTTACCAGCAAATCGTTCTGGTAGCCGATGCTTGATGGTTATCTTGATTGACTTTATCCTCAATGTTAGGTTGAGTATCAAAAACTGGTTTCACGTCGTTTATCCAGTCCTGGGTTGCTTTAGAGCGATCAAGCTGTGATGCTAAATCATCAACAGAGCCAATGTCTGATCCCCCACTGTAGGCCTTTACTGCTGCTTCAGCCATTGCGAGGTCTCGTTTACTTTTAAGTTCATCTAATTTGGAAGCATCTAGTAGTTTCTGGCGTTCGAGGTCAGCTTCTCTCAACTTTTGGGTTAACTGAAACTGTCGAATCTGTTGATCAAATTCAAATTTTGTTTTCTGCTCAGCAGCTCGTACCTTAGCTTCCAGTCGCCTGGCACAACTTGATGTAGTAGAAGCTTTTGACAAATGAGCAGATTTTTTATCGTCACAGGGGTGCTCTTGGGTGCCTTCCTTACAAGGGATAGGTGGTGGAATGCTATTAGCCAGTGCACTATCTGATATCTTTAACCATTCCACTGTTCTAGACGAAATTTCAAGAGCTTCAGCTTGTCCAGATTCCGATTTATCACGGGTAAATAACTCTTGAATCTCTGTGGCTTCGTGCTTGAAGGCAAGTTGAGAGACAACAACGTTATTTTTTAACTCTGGGATTTCTGGTGATCCGGCTTTTGCTCGCAATAACATGTCAACGTGGTGTTTAAGTTCTTTATGAGACTTCCAAAACTTCTTAGTTTTCTCCATTATAGCGTTTTCAACGAATTTCACAGATGGCGTTCGGTTTCTGGATGAATTTTGCGCAATTGGAGTTTCATTGTCGCCTTGATTGGCTTCCATACTTTTAAAACTTCGTCTTGAAACGTTTTGAAGAAACTAATAATTTTACCACAAATAAAGATCAACAACTAATTCGCGTGTTGCGAAGTGTTCATAACAATTACTATGAATAACTTTAGTGTTTTTTACTGTACTGTTTTGTCGGCTTGCAGACGACTCTTTAACTCTGACAGTACCGTTGAGGCCTTACCCGCAGCAAAGTCGAAGATGTCAACAAACCGGACGCGTCAGATCAGCTTAACGCACTCCCACAAATAAATCATAGAACGACGATGTCCTGGAACGATGTTAATTTAATGGGCAAAGTGGTAAAAAACACTGTGAAGTTTCACATACAAAATTATGACGAACAAAACAAATATCAACCCATGTTGGAAACAATGGCGGGTTCTAACCAGTTCATAGATCTCATTGTCCAGTCTCTCAGATATAAGACAGCACCGACACTCGCTGTGACGCTCAAACCAAATGCAAATGCGAAATAAGTGTCAGTAAATTATATGGAATGAAATGATAAGCTTAATAAATGTCCATTACCGAAGTACACAAAATAATGGTAGGTTTAAGATAAAGAAAACACAAGCGTAGCGTCAGCTTGGTTACCGTAAGGTGCCTTAGTTCTAGTAACAAGTGTCTTATTTGACGACTACAAGTTATAATCTATGGCAAGACGGTAGGGTCACGAAAACGTAAAACAGCACCCACTGCTAAAGACTCCTACTCGCAAGCGAATTATTGAAATAAAATTGAACCATATATTGGTCCCAAAATGACCTTGTTTGTGTCAATGGACTTAAACCCCATCTTTCTCTCTCTCTCCCTCACTCTCTCTCTCTCTCTCTCTCTCTTGCTTTCACAAAATAAAAGAATTTCGTGTGACAAATCAACTGTATACGAAACTAGCTTGAATAATCAATGGTTTTATGTCTATGGCACAGACTCACTAACCAGGATCTACCATAATCTATCGGGCAAAGAAATTTTCTTGGAAGCCATGGTGGCTAGGTGGGTAAGACACTGACTCACTAGTCTAGAGGTCACGGGTCCGCCCCTCAGTGAAGGCCGAGAAAGTTCATCATGAGGTCCTGTGTGCTCATTGGCATGCACACAAAAGATCCCTTGACAGTTGGAATTGAATATAAGAGTAGGCCTTAGCATCGCTGTCCTGGCAAAATTTCCCTTATAGCACACTGTAGGGCGTATGCCCGTCTTCATTAGCCCAGTCGGTGCAGAACTGTGGGACGTTAAACCCCATATCATTTCATTACAGTTTCTTTGGATTTTCCAGCCTAGTTTCCTTTGTTGGTGTTGCAGGAATTAAAGCCTGGTCATTCGGATGTGACGAATATACATGGTCCTGTGTATACCATTGGCAGTACGTTAAAAATCTCCGAAAATAGAAAATAAGAGTAAGTTTTAGTAGGACTGTCAGGGCAAATATTGACCTCATAGCACCACACGACGCGGTTGATGATACTGAAAAACCCATGTCATTCTTGAATACTCACCATAGCTGAAACAGGTGCCTGTTTAAGATAGTTGATGCAGGTTTGTGGTTCTGAATCCAAAGCGGGCTCAATTGCACTTAGGTAAATTTTACAGCAGTGTAATAAAGAGAGAGATGGGGTTTATCGTCCACTTGACACAAACTAGGTCATCTCAGGACTAACATATGGTCGGATTATATTTCAATAATTCACTTGTGCGTAGAGGTCTTTAGCAGTGAGAGGAAACCGAAGGACCCAGAGAAAACCCATGAGGTTGGACTACCCTTGATAAAGTTGTAAATTATTATCATATAATAAGATTATTTGATATTTGCAGGTTGCCAGTGAACTAAATGCTGCCATATTAGAAGCAGATGCTACTCCAAAACTTGCTAATTTACTTAAACTTCTTCTTTGGTCTCAAGATGAACTCGACAAAAAGAAAGAAAAATATCCTAAAATGACAGACATTTCAAAAGGGAGCATAGAAGATCAGAAATAATTCTTCGAGACAATCTGATTGAGATAAAATTTACCTGGCATTGTTTTCCCACATCAAAGAGTGATCTCATTACTAATGGTGTTTATCTTTATAATACATATTAAGAATATTTTTGATTTCCAAGAAGCTAATCAAGGACAATCCAAAATAATGGTTGACAGACAATCCTCTAAAAAAATGTCTGATGCAGGAGCGAGGTTTTTAATATTGTGTTTTTATCATCATGGTGCTCGGAGTCTAATTTTGACGTTGCGTTCACGTCTCTTCTTTGGGGCTGTTCGTTTGTCACTGGAATCAACTCTTCATGACCCAGATCATCTGTTCATGACCAGAATCAACTCCTCATGACCCAGATCATCTGTTCATGACCAGAATCAACTGTTCATGACCGGATCATCTGTTCATGACCAGGATCATTTGTTCATGACCAGGATCATCTGTTCATGACCAGAATCAACTCTTCATGACCATAATCAACTCTTCATGACCGGATCATCTGTTCATGACCGGATCATCTGTTCATGATCAGAATCACCAATTCATGACAGGAATCAACTGGCTGGAAACCAGAGGGTTGTTCTAGAAATAGTTAAACTTGGTTTGTCAAAGGATCGGTGGGCTAAATTTCAAGGTTCTACATTTTTCTCTATTTATTCTTGCTGTTTATAGGAATTCACTTAAACCTAATTACGAATTTTTGTGTTACATATCTAATCTGTTATTGTAAGATAAGTGGATAACATGCGATAAGTTACTTTTTATACGCCCACATTGAAATGTGGTCGTATATTGTCGTCGCCCCCGTCCGTCCGGCGTCCACAATTGTTTGTGGACGCTCTAGAGGCTACAGTTAATATCCGATTGACATTAAATTTATACACAGTGTTAAAGGTCATGAGACGAAGAAGCCTATTGATTTTCAGCCCTTGATCTCTTCAAAAAATCTTGTGGGTGCTCTAGAGGTCAAAGTTAATATTCGATTGACTTTAAATTTATACACAGTGTTTAAGGTCATGAGACGAAGAAGCCTATTGATTTTCAGCAATTTCCGATAATTTTTGCCAGAGTTATGGCCCTTGATCACTTTGAAAAATCTTGTGGACGCTCTAGAGGCTAAAGTTAATATCCGATTTACTTTAAATTTATACACAGTGTTTAAGGTCATGAGACGAAGAAGCCTATTGATTTTCAGCGATTTCCAATAATTACTGCCAGAGTTATGGCCCTTGATCACTTCAAAAAAACTTGTGGATGCTCTAGAGGCTAAAGTGAATATCAGATTGACTTTAAATTTATACACAGTGTTTGAGGTCATGAGATAAAGAATCCTATTGATTTTCAACGATTTCCGATAATTACTGCCAAAGTTATGGCCCTTGATCACTTTAAAAATTTCTTCATGAGTTGTTACTCTTAATCAGATTTTAGTGTATTATAAATGTTTCATTACCAAAAAAAGTAAAAATATGCGACAACACATGTTGACTGCCCGGACGATTTAGCTGCTGTGGGCGTATGTTTCATTGCCTGGCAACCTATCTTTAAGTAATAGAGAGGAGAATATTATTTAAATGGCCCTAGATTTTTTTTCAAATTCAAATTGCAAACAAACAGACTGTGTTGTTGACTTGTGAACGATCTCTGTGATGATTGGAATTCTGATATCCAAATCACATATTCGAATGACATGTTGAAAGTTAAAACTAAAGGAATTTGATATTTTTTGGCGCCTATGAAATATTCAAAATTATTCATTCATTGAAATCAACTAATATTCAACATTATTCGAATATTTTAGGTTATTATTTAAATATTCAACTGAAACTATTTTTGGGGCTGTTTTTGGTGCCTTTCAAGAAACTATATATCTGTGAAATCAGCGTATTTTCACTGTTTATTGCTGGCCTAGCGCTTGCTCTGAAGATCATAAAGTCTGTCATTGAGTCAAGTGGCATGGTTTGGATTCCTAGCTTGTACATGACCAGGAGTAGGGTCAGGGTGGCCTGTTCAACCTTGTTACCTCTGCTGAAAAAACGAATTTTTGAAAAAAAATTGATACGTTAGTCCCGAAATGACATAGTTTGTGTCAAATGGACATTAAACTCCATTTCTCTCTCTTATTTCTGATTTCATTGAATTCATATTGCTAAATAGTTCTTAAGTGAAGTCCTTGGGCGTTTGTATAACAATAAGCAACCCCATGTATTTAGGTAAAAAATTACTGTTTATTACTGAACGAGTTTAGATTAGGCTTCCCTCGTCTTCATCCAGCAAATGATACAATTATAACGATTACAATTTATTACTAAGTAATGTTTAAACGAGGATATATTCTTTGAATGCCATTTAGTAATTGGAACACAATCAAATAGCACACTATTTATGGATAACAATTACTATGGTTTATTTCACGATGACATTTCAACAAGATTTCACAAGTCATTATTTGTGTTATATGCTTTATAACGACTTGTGAAATCTTGTTGAAACGTCGCAGTGAAATAAACCATAGTAATTGTTATCTGTAAATAGTGTGTTATTTGATTTCAACTAGGTATTTTACGTGTATGAAACAGTCTGACTTTCTCTAGTAGATATTAATTATCTTCCAAAGAATTGTGTCCTGTATATTGTTATTATAAGGCCAAATCATAAAATACCTGTGTTTAACGGTTACTTGACGTCAAAAAATAGGGTCACTTGGTCGTAAAAAATCTCTTTCATGGTTTTTGTTGGAGAAGATTGGATAGAGCTAAATGAACTAATAAATTAATATTTTATTAAGCTACATCAATAATTGCTGTCTGAAGCCTTTCTGTAAAGTGTTTATTATTTCCTTCCTGGCATTTCCAACTTAATTACTGAGTAAATTTGTGTAAATTATAGCCGATTTCAACTTGTAAATACCCAAATTTCAGTGTCTGCAGAAAAGCAGGCCAAGACAGATTTATAGGAATTGAGAATTGAGGAAAAAAGTTTAAGTCGTTAATTTGTGGTTTTAAAAAAAAAGTCGGTCGTGTGTAACCATAAACACAGGTAATTTGGGGTTTTTTTGGGCCGAATAAAATTGCATTTTGTCTGTGTAAAAGTTTTAAAGTGTTTGTTTGTGTAAAAATGGTGGATATTTGTGGGTGTGTTGATATTATTCATGGTTTAAACTAGATTTTTGATGTAATGTTGTTACATAGAGACTCTAAAAGAGACTGATCTGGAGACTTATTCGTGAAAACTTAAATTAAAATATTTATGTATGCAGTCTTTTCATTGGCCAAGAGCTAATTTTTTGAATAGTCTCGGATTATAGCCCTCAATCACATTCTACACACATATACTGAATTCCAAAAGAAAGTATACCCACTAAAAGTATGACTAAGTTTGTTTAGATTAAAACATTTGATAAAGCATTACTGAGTTTGTCTCTTGCATCCAAACTCAACATTTCTAAGCAAAATAAAAATGTGAAACAAATTGACATTCTACCCTAATACCGTATACCATGGAAAAACGACTTTGGTTGATGCAGCACAAAATGCACAGTGTATACTTTCTTTTGGACATTAGTATAGATCCATCTACTTCATACTTCAAGAATAAATCTCTGTCCTTTATGGCTGCCATATCCAAAAATTAGTATATTGTTTTATAATGCGGTTCTACTCTGTTTAACACCTGGCATACACACAACGACTAAATAAACCTATTCAATTCCATTAAATGGAAACAGAATAAATACTTATCAAAATTCTCGAAGTATGCTTAGCGTTTTCGACTAAAATCATCGTCGATTTAGGACTTAAAATGTCTGTCAACTAGGTTAGTGTCTGTTCTCAAGTGGAGATAACTGTAGACAGGCAGCCTAGTTTTAATATGCCCACAACCAATGAAAATGCTGCATCATTGAAATATTTTTTGTAGTTTTCTGACCCTAGTAGTTGTCAGAGTCTTGTATATACTCTTTATTTGAACTGAAGAAAGTAAAACTTTATTAATATATTAAGGTCAGTTTCATTGGATCTTTATTAGCCTGTAATCTCTCAATTCATTATTGAAAGTAGTTATCTGATTCAATGACTTGACAATTGGTTAGGTCTATTTGATAAGGCCAACTTCATGTTTGGTCAAAGGTCAAAAGGTGTAAACAGGACTAGCGCTAAACCCAATCCTAACCCTAACCCTGGACTTGGTCCCAATGCTTACCATAACCTACAATCTCGTGCCCTAACCTTATTTACATCTCTGCGACCTTGACGAAAATTGAGCTGGCCTTAAAAAATAGATTTAGCCCTTGAGAATTGGCAACTGAAGTTATTGTTGAACCACATGTCAGCGTATGAAAATGTTGAAATGGACTATAAATAGATTTTGTTCATTTATTTACCGAGACATAACGTCTGTTAAATATCAAATTTTATGAAAACATTATTTAAATTACGTGTTTGTAAATATTGTCTATAGCAAATTTTATAACTTAATAAATTTTCAAATATTTTACTTTTTCTATTCCTTGTGGACAAGAGTATCATCACGGCTATTGATGTTATGCCTTTGGTCAATGTCAGTATTGCTCCCAGATGTTATTTGAAGAAAATGGGTTAAGTCTGATTGAGATAGAATGTTCATTAGGTTAATGTCTTGACGGGTGTTCGATAATGAGCATTCTCTGTGACTGGAATTAAATAAGAATAACCTCCACCACCACAGTACAACATTTGGACAATGTCTGTTGGGCTGGAACCGTTGGATCATCAAATGGGCCACTTGGCAGAAAAAAAGAATTAAAGAATAACAGGCAAGTTTTTAATGCAGTCTGCTACTGCTACCTTGTGATGTGCAGAGGTTTAGCGATGACCTGGTCCATTGCCTTGATTATTTGCACCCCAAACCCTCTCTGCAAGCCATTCATATCAGAATTTTGTTGAAATGGCTTAAGTCAATTATTAATGCTGCACGTAGGCCATGCAATCTGATTAAAACACAGATCCTATTTCCTTTCGTTTTTATATACGCCCACATTGAAATGTGGTCGTATATTGTTGTCGCCCCCGTCCGTCCGTCCTTGATCACTTCAAAAAAACTTGTGGATGCTCTAGAGGCTAAAGTTAATATCCGATTGACTTTAAATTTATATACAGTGTTTAAGGCCATGAGACGAAGAAGCCTATTGATTTTCAGTGATTTTCGATAATTACTGCCAGAGTTATGGCCCTTGATCACTTCAAAAAACCTCGTGGATGCTCTAAAGGCTAAAGTTAATATCTGATTGACTTTAAATTTATAAACAGTATTTGAGGTCACAAGGCGAAGAATCCTATTGATTTTCAATGATTTCTGATAATTACTGCCAGAGTTATGGCCCTTGATCACTTTGAAAATTCTTGTTTACGCTCTAGAGGCCAAAGTTAATATTCGATTGACTTCAGATTGATACACAGAGTTTATGATCTTGAGACGAACAAGTATATTGATTTTCAATGAATTTTTATGACTTAGAACAGCTAAATCCATGATACAGTATTAAAAATTTGTTTTACTTGTCTTTACTACACTAGGGTGTGGAAGAGTTGTTAAATAAATCCGCATTCTGGTTGATGTGAGGGATAAGCCAATGAAACAGTAAGTGACAGCAAATTTTTGGCATGAGGTGCACGGAACTGTGGGTAACACACTACAAACATCAACACTGAATTTTTAATTAAATATTTGATGTCACAGGGTCAAAAGCCACTTGTATGACCTCTGATGCAACCTTCCACTACAACTGGTCAGATCTGCACGTAGTAGAGGCCATCGAAAGTATTAAAAAAAAAAGAAACCGAATACAGATCTGTATTTTAATTTGATTGATATGCTACGTTGATCAAACAAGAAAGAATAGTTAATACAAGTATTTACACATTTATTGGAACAATATACAGTTTTATTTACATAATAAAATTAATAGAAGACAGACAGCGAGGGTAATAACATGACTTGTTCTCATACCTCTCATTAAATTCATTAACTTTGCTATGAGAGAATTTTTCTAAAGTTTTTTTTCCATTTAAATGTCATGGGCTTTAACGTTATACTTTTCTGCATAAACTGGATTACTGTGATATAGCCTACTTTTATTTTGAATTCCAACTGTGTGCAGTTCTTTTACATGCACGCCAATGTGTGCACATGATCTTGGATGTTTTGTTTTTTTGTCCCATACAAATGACTAGACAGTACTTTACCAGACCCTCCCCTGGAGCTACGCTGAAAAATTCTGAGGTACTTTCTCGGCCAAGACCAGAATCAAACCAAGAACTCCCTGGCCACTGTGACTCCTCCATTTGAACTCAAACATATATTCCCTGAATATTAATCAGGTCATCTATTGTACCCACAACATTGGGGGGGCTCCATTGTCAGTCCGGAAAGTACCGAATTAGTCAAGAGATACAGAATTCAGCCCTGTCACAGTTCTGCCAGTCCCGACAGCTGAGGTAGTGTGAGTAGAATTGTGACATATTTTAAGTAACAAATATGTTTCATCTGTCATGATTGGTTGAGATACTTTTATGCTGTCGGCACATGCGTTGTACCCCCAAATTCTCCTTTTCACTTGCTTGACACTATTTTTGGAATTGAGAGAATTTAATTCCGGAACGTTCAATCGAGTATCCCCATTATCACCAAGAGACAAACTAGACTGACTAACAATAATAAACATACAATAAATATATCTTCTTAAAGTACAGTAGCAATATTTTCAGATATATATTAACAGATTTCTGGAACAAAAACTTTTATAGAAAAAAAATAGAGTTTTCATGAAAGTTTGGACACAGTCTATAATGTATGGTTACATAATCTGCATTTCAAACAAACATATCTTTAATTACAAAATATAAACTATATTATTATTATTAGTCATGATTGTATGATGCTTTAAGCTCTGTAATTTAATAACATTCTTATGTACATTTATATTATATTACATTTTATCCATGTTTATTGCACCCGCCTCCATTCATAATAAAATCCCTCTATGTTGTTTCTAATTTTCACTATTTTGATATTCAAATTGACACTAGACCAGCAAATAGTGTTGATTATTAATACTAAATACAAAAGAATCTATGTATGACCTTTGACACTGTATAGAAATTTAGTGCTATGTTGTTCTGATATTAGTCGTAGTTGAAATGGAGACAATTTGGACAAGAGTGACTGGGATAAGCACAATTCAAACTTCACATTGTCAAAACGATTTTTTGTATAGGAATCCATCACAAAATTAAATAAAATTTATTCTAGATTTCTTATCTTTTCCCCAAAGGAATGTCATTTTTATTTTAATATATTACTACTATATCACCAGCCCAACATATATTCTTTGACCTTTGACATCAAACTATTATCTTTTTGAGGTATTTGACCACCTTTTACAACCTGAAACAGAGTCAAGAAAATATATCATTTGTATGCACATACTAGCACAAGTGACAATTTATAGCCGTTTGGATGGGACCAAAATCGAGATCTGTGTAGTGCCGCTGTCCGGGCAAAATTTCCCAATCTTCATTAACCCAGTCTGAACAGAACAGTAGGATGCTAAACCTCCCTTCATTTAAAGATACATTATGGGAGATTTTTACAGAGAATTGGCCATTCTTGCTATAACAGTTCAAAAGTAGATGATGAAAGAAGAATATTTTGAAAATTTCAGTCAAATTACTTTATTCTGTACATAGTTATCATCGTTGTAATATTTGACTAGAAATGGTAGTGAAATGTGCCTTCACCGTGGCTGATCGTTTGATTGACAGGCGTTAACTCCACCTACATATCTCGATTATCAAGTAAAGTTTTCAATGGCATGCAGAAACGCTCTACAGCGGCCTCACTAAGTACACTCTATCATTTAGCCTCGATCTAACTGACATATTCTCATCAGGATGCGCCATATTTGAATTAATTGATAAGTGAAATCCTATTTAAATCCGAGCTGTAGCCGAGCCATCCGTGGGTCAAAAGAGTTGATTTTGGGCTTGTTGTTTAAATAAAGATCTAATTTATAATTTCTATAACATCTGAAGCCTAAATTAAGACTTGCAATAATCAGATTTTGCTCTTGCATAATGTATGTTTAATGTTTTGCTAGAAACCAGATACCACAGATCTAAAATCTTTCGCTCCTATTCACAACAAAATATAATCACTACTTACATCGTATTCACTCCTAGAAGCTTGATAAGCCGACGTTAAAGGTCTAATTGTTGGAGTATTTCTCGCATTCACTGCATTTGTCACGTCTGTTAGAGGGGTCGAAGGGGTCATTGGCATATCATTAGCAGATGCTCGACCATCCATTACATTCTGAAACAAATAAGAGAATAATAATCAATGCCAGAACTGAGCAAGGTGTCAAGAGTGAAATAGGGTTTAATGTCAACTAAACACAAACTAGATTATTTTGGGACTGACATATCATAATTTCAATAATTGTGCATTGGGAGGAAATCGGACAAAAAAAAGAAAACAAAGTTAGACAGACGACTCTAGTCCAAGCTTAGGATCAAAACCTTGCCACTTGATAACTTACGAAAATAAGAGTAGGCCGTAGCACCGCTAATAAGGCAAAATTTCACTTATAGCACACTGCATGGTGTATGCCTGTCTTCATACACGGTTGCTCGGTTGGTGCAAAAAAGTAAGACATTAACCCCCATTTTATTTCAGTTAGAAAGGACCATAGTTCATATTTTCACTCATAGCACACATGTATAAGTCGTGTACCTTTCTGTATTTATACATTTGTTATCCTGATTTGAAAAGAAATGAAATGGGGTTTAATGTCTTACTCTTCCGTAATAACTGGGCTAGTGAAGATGGGCATACACCATGCAGTGTGCTGTGAGAGAAATTTTGCCAGGACAGACGAACAATAAGACACTGTCGATTGCCAGGTCCTCCATCCTGCACCACTGACAAGGGGAAACCACGTCTGAACTAACGAGGGACACTGTGAACAAACACAAAAACTCCCGGTTAGGGAGCCAGCACGTTATACACTGAGCCACTGTGGCTGCACCACTAACAAGGGGAATCAAGATAAACTTTCTTGGCCAACACCGAGAGAACTCAAGAACTACTGGTTAGATAGGCAGCACCTTATTTACTGAGTCACAGCGGATCCCCGATTTATAAAGAGAGAGAGAGGAACAGGGTTTAACGTCCACTTGCCACAAACTAGGCCATTTCAGAACTAACATATGGTTCAATTTTATTTCAATAATTCGCTTACGTGAGGAAACCGGAGGACCCGGAGAAAACCCACAAGGCTGGACAGGCGCCCCTACTCCTTGTCACGTACAACCGGGGAATCGAAACCACGCCTGTTGACTCAATGACAGACTTTAAGATACAGCGCGCACGTGCTAAGCATTCAGCCATCCACCTGCCCACCCCCTTGATTTATAAAGAAAATGAATAATGACTGTTTACCTTGTCTATACATGGTAATACACCCACCATTATACAACCACCAAATATTTTACCATTTTTACTTAAAGCTTTCTTAGCCTGAATCTTGGATTGATAATGGACATGCATCCAGTTTCCTTCTGTGGCCACCTGGAAATAAATAAATCGTGCAAGAATAAAATTACACTTAAAGATACATTATGTAAGATTTAGATAAAGAGCTGGTCGTTCTTGCTATAATAATAGTTCAAAAATAGATGATGCAAAATGAATTAACTCACCACATGTTTGACTATATGACCATATTGACTAAACTGTTCTAAAATAAACGACGTAGCTCCTTTATTAAAACTAAAACAAACGAAAAATAGGATTAAATTATAATGGAGAGAGAGAGAGAAATGGGGTTTAACGCCCACTCGACACAAACTAGGTCATTTCGGGACTAACATATGGTTTAATGTTATTTCAATAATTCACTTAGGCGTAGGGGTCTTTAGCAGTGAGAGGAAAGGACCCGGATAAAACCCACGAGGTTGTACAGGAACCCTACTCCTTGTCACGTACAACCGGGGATTCGAAACCACGCCAGTTGACTCAATGACAGGCCTTATGATACAGCGCACATGCTAACCATTCGGCAATCCAACCCCCCATAAATTATAATGACTATTTTCAAATATATAATCTGTAGAAGATGATGTGGAGTGCAAGCCTAGACATAAGGCAACTGTCAAGTAGAAATTATCACACAATGTATTATACAAGCATGGAGAGAAACGGAGAAAAAAAAATAGAGTTTCGCGCCCATGCAACACAGACTAGGTCATTTCGGGACAAACATATGGTTCAATAATTTGCTTCCGCGTAGGGGACTTTACCAGAGGGAGGATAATGGAGGACCAAGAGAAAACCCATGAGGTCTGATAGACGACCCTAGTCCTTGTCACATTCAAGCAGGGAATTGAAACCATGCCACTTGACTCAATGACAGACCATGTGATTTCACGTGCACTACCCCCCCCCCCCCTACAAGCCAGGGCATAAGGCACCTGTCAAAAGATTTTATCAGACATAAATTACCACAAAGCATAACATACAAGTCGTGTGATAATTTGTGTCTAATAATGTCCATATTGGTGGGGCGGTCTAAATATGTTATCAACGTAACAAATAACCACTTTGTATGGTTTCTGTGTGGTGCAATTAATAAGAAAAAAAAACAACTAAAAGAAAATAGTTTCTCACCCAAATACTGTTATCCATGTATCATCTAACATATCATACGACTTTAATGTTTCACTAAAAAAATACAACAATAATATGGTATATTTATTATATTTACTCTTTTATAATTTAAAGATGCACTATAATTACCCAAGGATAAAATATTTACTCTCGTATATACCCTATCATATAATATTTACAATTGTGTATACAATGATATATTATTTACCCCTTGTGTGTATGATCAGATATAACATTTTTACCCCTGTGTATACAATGATATAACATTTACCATTGTGTATACAATCATACAATATTTACCCTTGTGTATACCTCATGATATAATACTTACCCATTGTGTATAGAAGATATAATATTTTCCCTTGTGTATACAATCATACAATATTTACACATTGTGTATAGTCAGATAAAATATTTACCCTGCATGTATGATCAGATGTAATACTGAACTTTGTGTATAGAATGATATAATATTTACCCTTGTGTATAGAAAGGATCTAATTGAGCAGGTGAAGCTGGTATCATTGATTTGTTTCCCAGTAAACTATCATTTAAACGTGATTGATTATAATAACCTGAAAATAAAACCAAATGATAAAATACAAACACAATCAAATACAAATTTTACCTGTACAAGTTTCCATGTACTCTTCATCGAATTCCAACTGCCATGATAAAATAAAATAAACTCTGGATTTTTAACAACAGTCTTGTATTTGAACAAGAATTCTGTAAGCCAAATATATATGCACAAATGTCTGCCAATAATACAAGGAAGAAATGGAGTTTACATCCAATCACCACAAACAATCTCGTTTTAATAATTTGTTTGCCCAAAGGGGTCTTTAGCAATGGGAGGAAACCAGAGGATCCAGAGTAAATCCAGATGGTTGGATAGGCGACCCTATTTCACGCACAAGCAGGGTCATCGAAACCATGCCATTTGACACAATGACACAACTCAAGACATAAGGCTTGCACATTAGACCAGTAGACCACCCAAATCCCTTAATAATATTATAGAGTTCAATATGTCCTCAGCACTAGACCCCACCAACCCCCAAATAAGATAAGATTAAGCATCTACTATATGTTATGGCTTACCTGGTGTTTGATGAGAAGGTGATAATGTTCTAGCTGCTGGTGTCTGTGGTGATCGTGGATGTAACTGACCAGCAAATGACGTCTGAAATACACAAAGCAAAAGGAATGATAACTTACAGAGCTTAAATTCAATCAAAGAAGCCTGCTCAAACGGTTTTAGCATAAATACCGAAAATGAAATGAAATGGGGTTTAACGTCCTACTGTTCTGCTCCGAACTAGGCTAATGAAGACATGCATACGCCATAGTGTGCTATGATGGAAATTTTGCCGAGACATTGGCAATACGGCCTTCTCTTATATCGAATTCCAAATGTCAAGGGATCTTTTACGTGCACGCCAATGTGTACACGAGACCTCGGTTTTTCATCCCATCCGGACAGCAGTCTTTGTCAGGCCCTCCATCCTGCACATATGTATAATAATTTACTCACCTGTAAGGCTGGACTACCATCATATGTATCAATCATGCTGCTAGAAAATAAACCTTTAACAGGTGGCGCCCCCATTTTATCTTTACCACGTAATCCTTCATTTCTACTGAAATACACAAATAAAACTAAATTTCTGCAGCCATTGTTCAACCATCTAAAATATCTTGAAGCTTGAAGTAACCGTGCATGATTTGTATTTTTCGAAAAATATTGAATTTCTCACAGCTTAATTCACGCTAATATGTATTGAGATTGGTTATTTAACATTTAATTAAGAAAACAAAATCAAAACACTAGATAATCTCCCTGTCTGGATTCAATTGGATCAAAGATGGCAGCAGGCATGTTTTATTATCAAGATGTTATACGACATTGGCAATCAGCCTACTGTCGACTGCAAAATGGTGTCAAGTTCAACTGGGAAGAAATGTAGACCTGTTTTGTCAACAGATCCTGTCAAAAATAGAAGCGAGAATAAAAAAAAATTCAAAATGTAAGCTTCGAACCAGGGGAAGATTAGATCAATCAAAAAGGGTGACTAACCTTGGTGTACCTGTCATGTGACCTACAGGAGACGTAAGACCTTGACCCTTTTGCAAAGTTGGACTCTGGCCAGATGTTGACCACAGTTTCGGCACTGGCTGAAATTATTCAAATCATTGATTAAAATTTTGGGTTAGTATTATATCATTATGATATCTGCACAGCTATCATATACAACGTAAACTGATCATGCAGCAGAGTGGAGAAAGAAATGAAATGAAACGTCCTACTTTTCTGCACTGACTGGTCTAATGTAGATGGTCATAAGCATGCCATGCGCCCTGTCAGGGAAAAATTTTCCCTGACAGCAGCGCAACGACCTTCCCTTATATCAAATTCCAATTGTCAAGGGTTCTTTTACGTGGATGCCAATGGGGCCTTAGTTTTCTGTCCCATCCAAATGAATGAACAGTTGTCCTCCTCAGGCCTTCTGTCCTGCACCACTGACACAGGTTTCACTTTCTTGGCCAGCACCCAGACCTCCAGACTATTGAGCCAGTGTCTTAGTCACTGAACCACCAAGCTTACTGGTACATGATATTCTAAGTTAGTTGCCTAAAGCCTCAATGTACCAGTGGCTTGGTGACTGGGGTGTTGGATCACAAACAAGGCCGTCCTGGGTTCGATCCTGGTGTTGGATAAGAAAGTTCCATTAAACTCTCAAATGACCAGCTCTGATCACAAATCCCAAAGATTCATGTTTTACGTTTTACAAATGAAATGAAATGGGGTTTAACATCCTACTGTTCTGCTCCAAATGGGCTAATGAAGACGGGCATGCATCATACAGTGTGCTATGAAGGAAATTTTGTCTGGTCAGCGGCACTACAGACTACTTTTATATTGAATTCCAACTGCCAAGGGATCTTTTACGTGCACGCCAATGTATACACAGGACCTCGGTTTTTCGCCCCATCCGAACGACTAGACAGCTGTCCTTGTCAGGCCTTCAATCCTGCACAAAAGACACCACATCGGATAATCCTGATGAACTTTCTTGACCAACACCGGGAGCAAACCCGCGACCTCCAGGCTAATGAGCCAGTATCTTACTCACTTAGCCACTGTGGCTCTCCTTTATGTTTTACAGTAAAACTATAAACATGATCAACAAATACTCACAGAGCCAGAATGAGAGACATTATCACCCAGAAGATAACTGGGAAGATATTGGGAATGGTGTGGACCAGGACTGGTTGGAGATGCCGTCATCATTGGTTCTGAAATAAAAATCCATTTATCATCAGCCTACTACTACATTATTGATTTTTCTTTGTATCATTGATGGGGCCATTCAGCATTTAAAATCATGTCCCCGGTAATTATTACAATATTTTCACAAACACCTGTACTGAGCCGAGGGGCACAAGTATATGAAATGAAAAGGATATCACAAATAATCAAATGGGGTTTAACATCCTACTCCGACTGGGCTAATAAAAAGGGCATATGCCATACACTGTAGGCCTACTATGTATGTGTGAAATTTTGCCTGGGCAGCAGCACTATGGCCTGCTCTTATATTGAATTCCAACTGCCAAGGGGTCTTTTACGTGCACGCCAATGTGTAGCCTACACAGGACCTCAGATTTTCGTACTATCCAAATGACTAGAAAGACATCCTTGTCAGGCCCTACATCATGCACCAATGACAAGGGAAGGGGAAACCACGTCGGAAAAACCTGATGAATTTTCTCAGCAAATGCAGGGATTTCACTAATAATGTCCATTAACTAAGAGTCAAGACAAGAGATTTTTTCGAATCACAGATTGTCAAGACACTGACTTGACTCAAGTAGTGACTTTAGTAATCGTAATATGGGATGCCTGTCCGGAAGACATGACATTAGCGATGCTAAACGCCGCTAGGAGCGCTGGCTGTACTATTTACAGACATCACAAAAAGTTGACCGAGAAAAGTATACGTCGTGTTACGCCTTGTCATGAATATTCAAAGTGTCAAACATTGACCACGTGATGTTTACCATCGAGAAAAATAGATGAACTTGCTGTCGAGTAGGATTTTGAGAAGCTGAGGTAAGATTTTCTGATATTTTTCATGAATTGAAAATTTGAAGTTGAGAGAAATTTTCGAAAAAGGCCCTCGACGCTCAAGATTTTGGTATATTTGGAAAGCCCAATTCATTAACTACTTAGTTTGACCATTTGTTAAGTCCGTATCCCCCGTAGGAATTCGTAAAATGGCTGAAATTGAACCATGTGGAATTAAAGGGAGGTAACTCGTGGTTGATCAGGGTTCAGACCATAATTACCCCCCCCCCCCCCCCCCACAGACTTCAGTGTAAAAAAAATGATGTTAGATTTGGACAGGTTTTTTTTATTATATTGAATGTTACTAAAGCTACCAACCAAACTTTAGCCAGACATTTCACTAACAAAGGATAAAAATTGTGAATGTTGTTGACCACCTTGGATTTTTTTTTCAGGAACTGTAGCTGAAGAAGTAAGCTACATAATATATACTCATCCAAATCCAAACATAGCCAAAGGCGATCCCTGATATTACTTGGTACAACATAAAATAGACAAATGATGATGATATATAGGCCTACTCATACAATTTGCATGAGGACTATAAAAAGGGGGGCTTGAAACTGACTGTTTCTCAGCATTCTCAAGAAAGTCCATAATTATTATAAATTTGGTATGAATCATAGAAGTTAGTTTAATTTATTGTTTGAAATCAGTGTTAGTAATCTTATTTTTGTTATTTCAATATTTGTGATAATATTTATTTTATTTTTAACATTTTCTACCTGAAAGAAGTGGCCTGATGCGTCAAATGTTTTTGTTTATTTTGAAAAATATCGCATATGAATAATGTGATTATTTTATATTGTTATTATTGTTTGTTTTTGTAAGATACATGTATTAGAAATCTTATATTTGTTGATAAATGTGATAATGGTTTCTTTTTTTTTATCATTTATTTTAAACCGGTGGGTGAACATTTTTAATTTCATATTAAAAAGTAACAGATATGAATTTTGATCTTATTGTGATTTTGTTTTTAATATTTTTATATTTTTATGACATAGATAATGTCTCGGCAAGATGTATCACCATCTGAATGTTTATATTGTTTTTATTTTCATGGGATAATGTCTCAACAAGAAAGCTAGACTTCTACCACTGATATTATAATATAGTATATCGTAATGCACATGTATCACAAATTAATTTTTTTAATACTCTTTCATGTAGATTATATCATACTTTTTATAAGCTTACCTTTTAATTTGGACTCTTTTAAGATATTCAAATGTTTTAATTATGTCTATTAATTATGTCTGTTTTTATTTGAAATTGTAGTGATGTTGATCACAAAAATATAGCTGTTATATAAATCATAGTTTAATTGTTAATTTTCATTCCTGAAACAAACAATTTCAAATTGATGTACATGGCAGCTTCTAAACAACTAAAGCAGTTGGCGTGGCAAAAGAGGCAAATCTGCCAAAAGCTTACAGGTTTATTTCTCATTTTGCCACACACTTTCATGATTTTTAAAAATATCCACAGTATACGTTAGTATAACCGGTTTATAATTGTTGTATGACTGTGAATGGCCAGTGGTCAATGGCCTCGGAACCAGTAGGTGCCCAATTACATACATAAACTTGTTTCTCTTCGACATTGACATCATACGGTCAAAAATTGTGATTTAAGGTGTTGTCATGCAAAAAATAAATAACAGAACAGACTGAAAACACTTTTATGTGTGCTTATTCATTAAAAAATAAGCCTCTGTATTAATGTCAAAGCGCTACAATTTAAGTACACACAAATTTGAAAAATTTTTTGCTGTGATTTGTGCGAAATCGGCACGGATCCCAACTTTGAACCTCTGTAACATAAAAAGTATATACTAGAATATTATAGCGACAATTTGGCTTTATCAAGTACATCTAGATCTTTAATTAGTGCAATTTTCATAGACCTATCTTGTATAGTTACTGAGATATTGGCTTCGGTCACTTTTTTGCGGTTTTTAAAAAAAGCCGTTTTTTAGCGCCTCTGGTTTGCCTTCTTTAAAACGCTATAACTTTTTTAATTTTCAATATTTTTTCGAAATTTTTTCAGATTATTCATTCTAGATAGTTCACAATTGCAGTATCGTTGTCATTTTTGAGTCAATGGTTGTATCTGAAAACCCGTTGGCAATGCTAATGACATGCATCACAGAACGTGACTATTTGGCATCATATGTTGTCTTAATCTCAATGTTCAATGTACAGATTTGGTCTTGGCACTTAAGAACTTTAATAAAGAACAAATGTGTATCATTGTTTTGAGATAAAGTTCAATCGTTTAAAACGCTCGACTTCGATTTGTGCGCCGTGACCTGGCCATTGGCATCGTCCTAATAATCGGGTGGTATAAAAAAAACTTGGCTATTATTACCGTGGTATTCTCCAGCAAGTGGTGAAAACATGATTTTATATTAATGGCTATGGATAGATAAATAAATGAGTTATAAATTAGAGTTTATCTCAAATTTCAAAAAAAAAAATTGTCAAACGAAAAACTTTTAAATTTTGTTTCCAGATTCATTCAACGTGCGCATGCTTACCGGAAGTTTAACAGGTGTCTGATTAACTAAAATTGTGGATTGTTGAATTGTTCTATATTTTTAAGAAACGAAAAATAAAAATGTATTTAATTAACTCGAAAAGCAGGAACGAAATAAATAGAAAAAAAATTACAGTCAAGCTCGTCAACTAATCATTTGGTTCATACCCTCATCATAATTACATTCGGGACAACATAGTCTCTATTCTATTCTATTTTTATTAAACGTAAAAACTGATGTCCTTTATATATGCCCACAGTCAAGGAAGTGACATGGGAATAGTACGAAACAACTGCCGTTTCCAAATACTATCACCAAGAAATAAGAAAAAAATAAATTATAACCCAGATAAATGTTTAAATACGTTAATATTGATAATTCGTGTTTTATTTCATTCTGTTCAGAAAAGTAGGACGTTAAACCCCATTTCAAGTCGTTATTTTACCCATGGGTTTCCATAATGAGAGATCGAACCCAAACTACAATATTTAAGAAAAAATTCCTATAAACAAGTCAATTTCATATGAATAAGCAACCACTTAGGTATTGTCCTTTAAGCATTAGAATTTAGTTCAATGTCGTAAATTCCGCTCCATACAAATAATTTCTTACCATAAGTTAGTCGGGGTCACCCAGAACCTCATAGTTTCTGGATGGTAGAGACTAACTATAGGGGTTTAACGTCCTACTTTTTGCTCCGACCGGAATATAGGAGATATGCATACGCCATACACTGTCAGGGGTTCTTTTAGCTTCACGGCAAAATGTACAATGGACCTCGGGTTTTCGTCCAATCCGAACGACTATACGCTGTCCCTTGCCCCCCCCCCCACCCCCACACCCTGCAAGAAATTTCTGTGCAATGTATTAAATATACGAACCGAAGTTATTTTTGGGTTTGATTTATAATCCTATATATATATTTATATTTTAATTGTTCTGTTTTCGTGTCATTGTTTTGGCTGTGCCGAGGGAAAAGTTTATTAAGTAGGCTATCCAAGTCAGAATATGAAGAAATGGTCTATTTGCAGGGTCAGGTCTAAATATTAAGGCTAACTGCACATTCCGCCAAGATCGTGAGATTTAAAAAGGGTTAGGGCACGTGATTTCTGACGAGATTTGGGTTAAGGTTATGGTAAGGGTTAGGACTAGGTTTAGGGGTACGAACCCGGGGCCGTGTTCTTCATGCAATTTCAGCTGTGCCCCCACCCCCTACCCCCTCCATCCGAGATTAATAGCGTAGGTCCGTCGTATGTCCGTCACGGGGGTACCCAGTGAAATCGAGGATGCTGTCCCAGTTTTTTTGTAGTCATTGAAGATGTATTGTAAGAGCTTAATCCACCAATTGAAGACCTTTCGGTTGGCCTCAAATTAACGTTATAAATTATTTACTAGGTATTTAATCACATGACAATTACAAGCCCACATCAACTCTCTAGAACATCGGATGGTTGTGGTTTTGAACGGATCGAAACACGATCGCCATTTAATAATTTATTTTAAAATTGGATAATCGCGACCGTATTTTTATTGTAACAACTGCAGCTATGAAAATAGGGACTAGGCTATTCTTCAAACAGTCATAACTCCGCTCAGAATGAAATAATTTGACTAAAAAAATATTATATATTACTTATCTATTATAACGAGTCGAGCTGTCAGTTCTTTATTTAAATCTTACATAACACATCTTTAAAGTCATTGCCATTACGTAACTCCAGTGACTATTATAATTGGCGGCAAACCATCAAATTCTGGGCCCTGTTTCTCGAAATCTTAAATAAAGTAGATAGTTCAGTTGGCTAAGCACTAAAATCAACCTAATATTATCCAATCAAATTACTAAAATTTGGATTTTATCTTAGTTAAAATTTCGCGAAACAGGCCCCGGTTCGAGATTAATAGTAGACCTACCCTGTGAAATCTTGGACGATGTCTTTTTTTTCTAGCACGCTTGTCTTCAGTGTTAATTCCGCCTTTCGGAACTTTGTACAGCATCAATCATTTTGAGTCTAGTGATTTCCGCTCCTCTTTCAAACTTTTGTCGGATTCTTTTCCCTTGTTTCTAATTCTTTGTCTCTGAATAACAAGTTGTTTTAATGAATCAAGAAGTCCCGTGAGTCCGTCCGGAGACAATCTATCCACGTCTGTTTCGGGTGGGACCAACAGTTCGCTGTTTCTACTGTCAGCAACTAATCTCGTCACTTCTTTAAGATGTTTCACTGCCTCGTCAATATTTGATGAAACGCTGGACTCTGTACCTTGAGAGGTATCTTGATCTGTTCGAGAAAAGGAAAAAAGTGATGCATTATGGAAGATTTAGATAAAGAGCTGGACATTCTGGCTTTATAGTCCAAAATAAATAATGAAAAATTAATATATTGAAAATTTCATTCAAAGTACTTTTTTCTGAGCTTAGTTATGGCTATTTGAAGATGTGACATCGTTTGTTATCGTATAGCGACACTAAGCTTTGATTGTCCATTTTACCGTTAATTTTTTAAATCTCGCAGGTGCTAAAATCCTTTTAGATCTCAGCCACCCGATGGTCTAGAGGCTTGATTATGGACTTGTCGTGTTAATAAATGTCTAATAATAGTTTATATAAATGTATCTGAGGCCAATATAAGCCGGTTGCTCAAAACTAAGTTATTTTAACGATCCGTTAAAGTCTAACGGATCGTTAGTTTGCTAATGTGTCGTTTGATAACGGTCCGTTAAATTTCTGTTGCTGGAAAGTGAATTTCATTATCCGTTAGCTAACGGATTCATTAAAGTTAATCCAAGAGAATACTGTTTGTTCATTGGCTGAATTTTAAATTTTTAAATTTAATGTACATGTATAACAACTTCATAGAAGTTAGTATTAACAAGAAACTGAAGAAAGTGGGACAACTGTGCAGTCTGTTCATAAAACTTAATTAAAGACAACAAGATAACTAGAATTTACTACAGAAAACACTACAGAATACTTTATTTTTTCCTTTAGAAATTTAAGCATAAATCTGTAGGAAAAATTATGGGATTTGCACTACAGAATTATGGGGCCATTATTTCCTACAGGCCACCAAAATTCTGTAAAATAGTATAGAATTTCACCCTATAGAAAATGGAATAGACCGGCATCGCCCAACCCTCTAGAATGTTCTACAGAAAATTACATAGGTAATCTATGACTTTTTGCTACAGCCAACTAATGCCATCATTAAACAAAAAACGGAGCTCAACACCTCCGTTAAATATAACGCCAAGTTAACTTCACGTTAAAGTTAACGGGGCTTCAAGCAACAACCTTTATCTCCGTCAAAGTTAACGATCCGTTAACTCCATGTTAACGGATCGTTAAAAGATAACGGAACTTTGAGCAACCGGCCCCAGCAAAATAAGCACTTACACAATGCATCTTTAAAGGCGAGCCATACTTGTACGTAAATCAACCGGCCAATGTGAAGATGCAACCATTTACCTTGTTTAAAAATTTCAAATCAAAATATTGAGCCGTTTATTAGAAATCATCGCTTGATTATCTTAACGGGGATTCTGTTGCTCAAGGGGAGGGGGGGGGGGGCTGGCTGATTAGACAATTAGAGATCCCTGGTTCGGTCCAGCTATTGGCCGGGAAAGTCCCTCGTGATTTTTCAACGTGGTTTCTCCCATGTCAGCGGTGCAGGATGGAATGAACGTAAACCAGACAATAATACCATTAGATCCCGACTTCGTAATAAGATCCGAGTGTAGTGGAACGGGTGAATTGTTCACCCTAGTTCATAAACGGAATGACAATACACTGACGTAATAGTTCTATACGTCACATTAAATGAAATGAAATTGGGTTTAATGCTCTGATGCTCTGCATTACCAGGGTTAATGAAGGTGGGCATATGCCATGTATTATGGCATGAGGAACATTTTGCCCCGGCAGTAGCGTTTCCGTCTAATAATCACCCATTACAACTGTCAAGGTTGCGTTTACTTGTACGTCAAAGTTTACACCGACAGTGGGAAACGACGTTGGACACGCCTGAAGAACCAGTACCCCACACACTGGGCCACTATAGTCCCCCACGTCACATTAATATCGCTGTGCATAATTTGGTAACAATATTATGGCCTCGACGTAATATTGATTCCGAATGAGTAAACTAACAACGCGAAGTCCCAGGGAAGAGAGTTATTAAAAGAATATCCACGCCAGAGTCAAACCCAATCTGTTTCAAAAGGTATTGCGAACTGCTGATCAGTGGGAGTCAAACCTTAGACGATCATAGGAGAAAACAAAAGATTTGTAGCCGGGTAGAGCTACAATTTGCATTTTTGGGAAAATTAATTTGTCCACGACTTACTCCACCAGAAATATACTCAAATTGGTTATTATACAATACAACAAAATCCAAATATCACCGGATGATTCAATTGGATTAAAAGGAGGCACATCGAAATATTTCAGTGAAACTATTAGGTGGCGCTGGATTCTTTTGGCATTGACTATATATCTGTAGTGGAAGGCGAATGTTGATAAATTTTTAATTCATCGTATCTTTGTAAATACTGAACCATAATATTTATTTCGAAAGATTTTCCGTTTAGAGAATAAGATTCAACTGTTACAATGTTATAGTGATAGTGATACATGTCCTGACAAAAGACAACGTATATTCGTTCGAATGGGACGGACACCCGAGGTCCGGTGAACATATTGGTGTGCACGTAAAGGATGCCTTGACAATTGGAATTCGAAATAAGAGTAGGCCTCATATCACACTGTGTGGCGTATGCCCGTCTTCATTAGCCCAGTAGGAACAGCAAAGTAGGATGTTAAACCCCATTTCATTTCATTTCTTTTAAAGGACAATATAATTGCAAAAAAATAATTGGCTGTCACTGGGTAAGAAAAAACGAGAAAAATAGCACAAGTTCGTGCAATACCATGTTTTATAAGGTATAGAATGAATAAAAACAAGGGAATGTTTGGCCTATTTCTA